GGCTAGTACTCTACCACTTCGATCCATAGCTCCACTTCTGATTTTCTAGTGGTTAATTGGAGGTAAGAGTCTCACAGCCTTTCCTGCCTGGGCTGGCTTTGAACCGCGATCCTCAGATCTCAGCCTCCTGAGTAGCTAGGATTACAGGCATGAGCCACTGAAGCTAGGCTTTCAGGTTATTTTTCTCAGCAATAAAAGGCACATTTAAAGCTCTGTGTGCTTGTTTTGTGGTCCAACATCTGTCCTTTTTACTAGCAGAATATCGATTTTTAAAGCTTGATGATAGAGTCTTCTTTATTCCTCTCTCTTCTCCTCTCTGTTCTTCCTCCCCTCTCCTCTTTGCCACTTCAAAACAGAGAGCACAAAAAAAAGGATGACTGTCCCTCTGAGGACACACCCTTCAAAGACCTAAAGATTTATATTAAGACCCATTTTTTTCCTTTGAGAGAGAGAGAGGAGTAGGCTCACAGTTTCAAAGGTATCTGTCCAGCATGGTGGGAAGGGCATGGAGCTGCAGAGAAGTTCACATGGTAGACAAAAAGCAGAGGGCAGGGGATATAGAAAGTCAAGGGCAAGATATGAAAGAAGAAACGACATTTGAATACATATCTTAGAGTTCATTTCCCTAACATCACCTTATCTGACCTTTTCTGCTTGACTCAGACATATACTAGATATTGTAAATAAGGGAAACCATGGCACCTATGTTTCTTTGGGCTTGGCTTACTTCACTTAATATAATTTTTTCCAAGCCTTTCTATTTCCTAACAAATGGGGCAATGTCATTCTTTCTGATGGAGGCATAGAATTCCATTGTGTATCTATACCACATTTTCTTGATCCATTTATCTACTGAAGGGCTGGAGGGGATGTGGACAGAAGGGAACCTTACTTCATTGTTGGTCGGAGTGTAAACTTGTTCAACCACTTTGGAAAGTAGTATGGAGGTTCCTCAAAAGACTTCACATAGAGCTCCCCTATGACCCAGCAATCCCATTTTTGGGCATTTACCCAAATGTTTTACAAACAAGACCACACTAAAGCTACCAGCACGACTATGTTTATTGCAGCATTATTTACCATAGCTAAGATATGGAACTAAGCTGCTTTTTAAAACTACTCTTCTAGTTTTTCTGGTTTCCTGTTTCCAAGCTCCTCATGACTTAACAGGTTCCAGACAGAAGAGACTTTCTGTATACACCAGAGGAAGGACCCGCTAGACACTGACTTGGCTGGAGGGTGGGAAATCAGATTCAGAGTGCCTCTTGGGCCATGGCCACTGCGGGGGTGGGGGTGGGGGGGGAGGCTGGGGACAGCTCCCTGGCGGAGGCTCCCTCTCCCATGGAGGCTGTCCCTCCCCTCCAGGGTGGAGGCGGAGCACTAATTGCGCTCTGGTCTGTCATCAGCAGGAGCCTCATGGCTCATTTGTGAGAAGCAAAGTAAATTATTTAGTCTGCGCGGTACCGAAGCGTCTCCGTGCTCAGGGCATCCCTAATGATTTGGATAAAATAATGTAATTTTCGGGCTCTGTGGAGTTCTGAAGTCCCTAGCCATTAAGGCCAATGCAAAGTGCTCTCTAGACATTAAGTGCAGGATGTTTCTTGGAATGGTTTTTGTTAGGGCCGCCTGAGAAATATGGTCCCTTCCCCATTGTTCTCCCTTAGTGCGCACAGTGGTCCTTTCCCTTAGAAGTCCCAGGTATCTGGCCCATGTGGGGGCAGTGGGAAGCCCCGCCCCCAGGCGCTGAGGTCTTCACAGAGGCCACACCTCCTCCCCACCCTCTCCCTGTACAGTCATCTCCATAACTAGTCCCGCCCCTTTTTCCCTTGGCACCCTTGCCCTCTTGCCCTTAGCCTCTTACCCCATTTCTGCATGCCTCCAACTTGTGCAGGTCGGCAGTATGCTCTCCCCCCAAGAAACTCTTTTCTGCCTGATCCATGTGTTTCTTTTTGCTGAACTTCACAGTCTTCTTGGTTTCAGAGCCACCCACTGCCCCCATCTTTAAGGATTCATTTAAACATCATATTCATGTGAGCATCAAAGTCATGTAAGCCTTGTAGAAATGCTCCACAATGCTAAGATGCTAAGTGTTCTCTCTCTGTGGCTGTCTTCCCATCTCAGAAATGTAGGTTGCTTATCATTTAGATATTGTCAAAAAGGAACTAATACACAGGGGCATAGCAATATGAATAAAGAGATATGTGAGCCAAAGCATAGGTGTAGCTACTCAGGAGGTTGAGATCTAAGGATCAAAGTTTGAAGCTAGCCTGGGCAGGAAAAGTCTATGAAACTCTTATCTCCAATTAACCACTAAAATGCTGGAAGTAGAGGTGTGTCTCAAGTGGTAAAGCACCAGCCTAAAATGAAAAGCTCAGGGACAAGGTCTAGGCCAAGAGTTCAAGCCCCAGAAGCAGTGCACATACACACACGCGCGCGCACACACACACACACACACACACACACTCACTCACTATGTGTGAAAGGATTATTGTGGGCCTGGTATACATGGAAGGAAGACTCCTAGAAGCTGTTAAGACATTTGAATGTGCTGCCCTTCCTAAACCCAGGAGCTCATAAAACAGCCTGTCCTTCACATCTCACAGGCACTGGGATCTATTCTGATGTTTAAAGCAGAGATAGTTCACAGAGATGGTAGAATTGCTGAGGGACCAAGCAGGGGAGCCTGAGGCGAACACAGCAGAGGCTACAGTGACCTGGACCACAGGGTCAGAGGTAGGGGTGTATGTGTGTGTGTGTGTGTGTGTGTGTGTGTGTGTGTGTGATTTTCCCAAATCCATAAGGTCCCCCATTCTGGGGCCATGGCTAGCCAGGGGGCAGGATCTAGAGCCACAGAACATCCAGATGCCATCAGAAATACACTCTGCAGAGCTAATGGGGAGAAATGGCCTTTGGTCCTTTTCTTCCAACTTTCCATGTCCCACCTGTACCAACATGGTGGCCTGAGTTTCAGGGTACTGAAACACTTCACCCTGCCCCATAGAGAACAGCAGAGGGAGAGGCAAGGAAGAGAACTGAGGGCAAATAGAGCTGCTCAAGAATATCTCTCACTGGGAGAACTATCCAATGAAATAGTCTGACAGAAGTGTGTGTGTGTGTTTCTGTCTGCCTGTCTATCTGTCTCTGTGTCTGTATGTCTTCACATAGGGTGATATTTTGCGACTGACTTACCTCTTCCCTTCCTCTTCTTTTCCCCAATTTTCCCCATGCCTCAGTGTCCCAAATATTCCCAGATTTTCTGTTCAAGATGAATCATTGTCCTGTGTACAGATGGCAATAGAGGACAGACAGTACCCAACTCAAGCCATGTTTCCAGTACTACTTTTGGGTTATTTTTGGTTATTTTGGAAAAGGAGGCTTGAGGACTTTTCTGCTCCTTCGGGCTGTGAATGGTGATCCTCCAGACCTCTGCCTCTTGAGTAACTAAGAGTATAGGCATGAGCTGCCAGTGTCCAACTCAACTTTTCTATTTCTGCAAAAAAATTATTGAGATTTCAGTAGGGATTATACTGACTCTATATATCATTTTGCATAGCACTGGTATCTTGGCAATATTTCTTTCAATTTCTCAATTGAAAGAGTTAATGTATATAATGGAAATGTATTTCCACTTATTTCTGTCTTCCTTTAATTTATTTTAGCAATGATTTGAAGCCTTTAGGGCAAATGTCTTCCATATTCTTGGTTAAATCAGTTACTAAGTATTTTATTCTTTTGATGTTTTGTGAATACAACAGTTTTTCCTTTTCCTTTTTTTTCTTTTTTGCTTGTATCAGGGCTTTAAATCAGAAGGTCCCCTATTCTCTCTGCTTGTTTGCTCACAGCTGGCACTCTATCACTTGAAAAAAATACATCCAGCCTGCCTTTTTGTTGTTGTTGTTGTTGTTGGTCATGGGGCTTGAACTCTGGGCCTGGGTGGTGTCCCTCAGTCTTCAGCTCAAGGCTAGCACTCTACCACATTGAGCTACAGCTCCACTTTTGGAGTCTCATGGACTTTCCTGCCGGGGCTGGCTTTGAACTGCAGTCCTCAGATCTCAGCCTCTAGAGATGCAAGCCACGGCGCCCGACTCAGCCTGCCTTTTTGCTAGTTTATTGGAGATAGAGTATTGGGAACGTTTCTGTCCTGGACACCTTCTAACTGAGATCCTATGGATCTTAGCCTCTGAGTAGCTAAAATCATAGGTGTGAGCCATACCAGGCAAGCCTTGCTCTACCACTGAGCTTCAATCCCAGCCTATTACTGCAACTTTATATCCAAGAAACGATCAGGGTTTGAAGGATGAGGATGGTGAGAAATGGATACATCTGTGACATATTTTGTAGGTAAAAGGTCTTCAATGTGGGTTGTAGGAGAAAGAGAGTCATTAAGGATGGCATCTAGTTAACTGGCTGAACTGGTACCATTGGCTTACATGGGGAAGATAGGAGAACGTAGACTTGGGACAGAAAGGAGCCATATTAAATTTGGACCATATTAAATTTGGCAATGTTTGAGGATAGTAGAAATATATAAACAAGAGGAGAAGGATAGAAAGCAGTTAGAATACAGATCTTTTGGGGAAAGCTCACCTCTATAAATGTGGTGGAAAAGTAATTGACAGAAGGAGAGACAAAGGAGAAACAATGGAGGGATAAAGAACCAAGACCCTTTGCTCAGGCCAGATACACTGATGAGACGAAAAGGAACCAGAATAAGAAGGAGAAAGTTTCAAGAATGCACCCACGGTTAACTACGCAAACATCAGAAGAAGGAAGATGAAATCTAAGAAAAGACACCTTCCATGAGCAACAAGGAGAACAATAGTGCCGCACTCTTACTGAGAAGTTTCAGCAAGATGAGTAAGGCCTCTGCCTGAGAGAGGTGAGGAAGCAAGAGGCCAAGGGAGGAGAGGGCGGAAGTGGGGGTGGGGGCTCTCAGATAGCACCACAGCGCTGGATGAGCATGCTCAAGACTGGACAGATGTTAACTCTTCTCCCGGAAACAGAATCCATTTAAGAGAACTAAAAGCATATCATATCCTGTTGATCTCTTTGAAAGATGTTAATAAATACTCAAAAAGCTGGTATTACAGAGGAGTTTACTTTCATGCTCTTTTTGTGAAGAAGCAGCCCCCACCAAGAAATCTTCCAAAGAAGGAAATCAGCACCAACCCCCATACCAACTAATGCTACAAAAGACTGACTAAAAGTTCCTTCTTTTCTTCCTGTTGGCTGACACTGTTCAGAACTATTATTGGCTGTTTCATTTTTCTTTTAAATGAGCAAGCTGAATGACTGGGAGGAGAAAGGCAGAAAAGAGAGAGAGAGGCAGACAGACAGAGAGAGACAGAGAGAGACAAAGAGACACAGAGACACAGAAACAGAGACAGAAACAAAGACAAAGACAAAGAGACGGACACAGAGAAAGAAACTACAGAAGCCAGGAAGTACGGAACCTACAGGTGGGCATTTTCTTTTGTTCTTGTTGTTAATTTACTGTTGAGAATTACGTCTTGGTAATCACTCATTCAGAAATAATTTGTGAAAAGTAAATTCATTTTGTTCACCTATAATTTGTTTTCTGTTGTAATATCTTGTAATCTTAAAATGCAGAAGGTAGCAAAATCTACCACAGAGTCAGCCTTTATCGGCATTTTTTGGGGTATTTCCCTGTGTGTGTGTGTGTGTGTGTGTGTGTGTGTGTGCACGTGCATGTGTAAGTTTAATTGATTTTCATAGCTATATCTATACAGATGAGAGAGTTTATATCCATTTCTTCCGCTAACATCTTATACTATATCCATGTTGCTTGGGGTGCTTCATAATCACAATTTTAAATTGCTGTATAGTGTTACATTGAAATTTACTGTGCCTTACTCAAGCATGTTCTATTATCATATTCTGCTTTTCCCATATCACACCTTCTCTACTAGTCATAGATTGGGTCATCTTATTCCATAAAATATATATGTTTCTTCCACTTAGAACCTTGCTTTGTGGGAAGGGGCAATTCAATATGTGAATGCTCATTTTGGTGGGTTTGTTTGGAGTATGTAAGTGAGGTGCTGTCACCTATTCCCCTTTGGACCTCCAAAGTATTTTTTACCTGTAGCTGTCCATTCAACCAGAATAACCTGACTCTGAGGAGATTGGGCGGGGGGTGGGGGGAGGGAGGGAGAATCAGTTCAGTCTGTCATCTGCAGTGTTCGTTTTTATAAAGCCCCATGATTTTAACAAGTGATTGGTATAAAAACAGCTAACCTTGATTATTAGAAATATTTCCTTGTCTCTGGTGCATATCTGAGAACCATGTGTATTAAGAAAAAAGGGAATATAGCTTGTCAGGCTACCTAAACTTCTCTTTTAATACTATATAAATAATGCAAATTATAGAGCTGATTTGTGGGATCCATAAGACTTGTAGCAATTTCTGTCATCTACCTCAACCACTTATACTCTTAAAATGAAAATCTACTTGAGAGCAATTTGCTAATGCATTAAGAAGGTAGATTTGAAACCCGGCACAGTGGCTCACATCTATAATACTAGCTACTCAGGAGTCTGAGATCTCAGGATTATGGTTCAAAGCCAACTCTGGAGGAAAGTCTGTGAGACTCTTATTTCCAGTTAATCACCAAAATGCCAGAAAAGGAGCTATATAGCTCAAGTGATAGAGTGCTAGCCTTGAGCAAAAACTTTCAGAGACAGCACCCAGGCCCTGAGTTGAAGTTCTAGGACTGGCACAAAAAAAGAAAGAAAGAAAGAAAGAAAGAAAGAAAGAAAGAAAGAAAGAAAGAAAGAAAGAAAGAAAGATTTTCTAAAGCTTGAGAAGTTAGAACCCAGAGAAGTTGAAATTCTAAATGTATCAAAAGGAAGCACAGTATATGTTAGTAATTACCAAGATACTTAGATTTCCTTTTTCTTACAAATTTTTCTAGATCCATCAGGAAATGGGTGTTTAATAGATGACCAATCCAAAGACTCCATGGGAACAGCATAGATGGCTGCTAGTACCCAGAGGCAGGGCTGACCCAGGCTGTCCAAGAGTGCTGTACATGACACTAACCTTCCTTGGACCCCTGTCCTCATAAGGAAAGTGGCCAAGTTTATATTGAGGCTGTATTCTGCATTCTCTTCTCATTAATTGAGAGCAAATAAAAGACAGGCAAATCAGATGGATACATCTGCTGTTGTATTCATAGCCTCTAGCTTCTAGTGCTTTGATTCAACCAAGCTTGATGACTATCACCTCAATTAAATTTCTTCTCATTTTCATTTACTGGAGAAGAGCAACTGTTTAATATTATTGGTGGATATAAACATTTGGGTAATACCTTTTAATTTTATCTTTTGCCTGTATTAGGTTTAAACTCAGAGCTGCATGCTTAGCAAGCATAGCACTATATCCTTTGAGCCATGCCACTAGCCTAGATTTTTTTTCTGATTATTTTGGAAATGGAGTCCCAGGAATTTTCCTACTTGGGCAAGCTTTACTCTGTGATCCTTAGGATCTGAAGCTCATGAAAAGCTAGGATCACAGGTATGAGCCACTGGCTCATTTATTATTTATTTACCAACATCCGTTCATTTGACTGATGCAATGGCCTTAAGCTCTGAAAAGTGTAATTCTTATTTTAAAGGGAACAAAGATAAAGCACAGAGAACGTAGGATATTTACCAAGGTAGAATCAGTAGTGGCCCAATCAGATTGAGCCCAGAGACCTAGTCTTCCTTACAACTTCAATAATAGCTATCCCATGAAACTGATTAAACAAATGTTATTATGTCTATATGTAATCTTTAGTCAGTCAAATGTGGACACTGATGTTTATTACCTGGCAAAGAAAGATGGCCATGACACAGTGAAGAGAAAAAAGCAGCATACAAAAGAAAAATCTACAATCATTTTTATCTAACAATAATTGTGTGTATTTGCAGGGAGAAGTAAGGAAACATACATTAAGTTTAGATATATTTGGTTGGCAAAATCAATAATTTAGATTTTATTCACCTATATTAACTTATTATTTATCATTTATTTACATATTTATTCCTCTTACCCCAAACACACTACTATTCTCATACAAATACATATAATAATATACATATATAATATATAGTTATACTATATGTACATATAGTTAAGTAGAATTGTTCAAATCTTTCTGGTTAATTTTTCTCTGGGTTCCAAGTCCTTTCACATAACCAAAAAGAAGCCTCCTATTTCATTCCCTGAGTTTTGCACGTTATTAACACATTGAATTGTGATTAGTAGCTAGCACTGGCTTAGTACTTAACATGTGTCAGGAACTACGCTAAGTTTGTCATAGACAGCTTCTTCATCAATTCTCACTCTAATCCTCCCTTGACAAACAAGAGTTTTAAAACCCAAAAGGGTGAACTAATAAGCGTGACAAAAAGGCAGATCTGAGACTTGAGCCCAGTTCCCCTCTAGCCTAAAATCTCATGCTTTCATTAATTACACCATCCTGCCTTCCTGTCCACCTGCAATCTGGGAGGAACTAGTCAAAATTTCCCCAAGCATGGTTAGTACGTGCGTATTGCACACTCAGGATTCCTCCTGTGTTTTCAGTTTGCTCTGTGCAGCAATCCTGGGAGATGTGCCAGTCTCCTAAAGCTAAGTCTTTCCTAAAGGTAAGTGCCTTCTAAGCATTGTGGCATTATCTTTAGAACTCTGGCTAATGCTCCGGCCATGCTGGGAAATGCAGAGGAAAAGCAAGCATTTTTGCTGTGATAGCTCAGCTTTGCTGCAGAGCTTTTTCAAATCCTCTTTAGAAACCCCTAGTGCTGTCTGTGTGTCTCTCTCAGGGCCCTGACTACTTCCTTCCTTCTGTTAGAGTTACTTATGAACTGTCTCATCAGTTCTATTGGGGCAGGAGTTTCTGAAGGTAGAGTCCTTGCATCGTACTCAGGACATGAAATCCACTGAGCAAAAAACATGTAAATAAATCTACTGGGGGAAAAATGTGCCAGTAAATCAGTGCACCAACAAACATGTGGGCTTTCAGTTACATATTTATCTCTGTTGAGTTTTATCTAACCTCTTTCTATGGATCCACCCCTGGGAAAAATACTAGTTTTGACAATATTTAAGGAAATCCTCTCCTACTGGACTGAAGGCTTGGAAGACCTGTGGCCTGGCTCTTTTGTAAGTCTGGTTGTTGAGGGCCCCAAAATAAAGGCCTGAGCAGTAAATTGAATGCCAAAACTTCTGAACTTGAAAAAGTCCTCAGGAAAAGTCTGGGCTACACACAAAACCTTTTGCCTTTATAAAGTTCAAAGTCCTCTAAGGAGGGAGCTCTCAAAGAAGCAGGAGAATGAGAGCCCAGGAAGACCAAGAAAGGAAGAGAGAGTAGAGAGAGGAAGAGGAGAAACTGTTCTAGAACTCTAAAGATGAGTATACTAGGAATATTCTCAGTCCACCATTGTTCCTCCTAGCATACATAATTAAAACAAGATTAGTTTATTTTTTTGGGGTGGGGTCCAGTCATAGGGCCTGAACTCTGGGACTAGGTGCTGTCCCTCAGCTCTTCAGCTCAAGTCTAGCGTTCTACCACTTGAGCCAAGCGCCACTTCCGGCTTTTTCCTTTTTGCTTATGTGGTGCTGAGGAATCGAACCCAGGACTTCATGCATGCAAGGCAAGCACTCTACCACTAAGCCACCTTCCCAGCCCCAAGATTAGTTTATTTTAATCTTGAGAAAAATATTATTTCCCACACTTTTCCTGAGAGCCTGTAGACATCAGAAACTATCGTATAAAGAGTTTCTGAAGGCTTCATGAATTCTTTAAAGTTCAGTTGATTTTATTTCAAAACTTGTTTCAACAGTAACTCTGCTCTCTGGTAACTTCTCTGAGAGATTTGAAGGTGACTGCCCTTGTTAATTATAATAGGCACAAATCCCTTGTTGTTAGCTTGTGGGCACAGAATCAGAAAAACAATTTGCTACCTTGCTTCCCTTCAAGATATAGACAACACTGCCTCCTACCAAGTGGAGAACAGAGGACCATTTGGGTTCCTTCTGAGTCTGGCTCCTGCCTGTCTTTGACCTTGGTATTCCTGTTCCTAAAACTTAGATTTGAATTTCAGAGACAGAAAGTTTTTCCCCCTCAAAGGAAAGCATATCAACAGCTTTATTTTAAAAAAAAAGATCAGAATATATTTATCATGAAACCTAAAATGAGTATCTTGTTCTTGAAGGCTGGTGTCCTCTCACACATGTGGATGCCAAACCTCTGCAAGGCCTCAACTCTCCCTCCCCCTTTTCCTGGGAATCAATAGCAATCTGAGAGCTGTTTTCTCTTAAAGCAACACAAGCATGAATCCAATTACAAAAAGATTCCAGTTTTAAGGGCATGGTTATCTACAAATGTGTCCCTCATTCATAGGCTCCTTTTTGCACAGGAAAAAAGAATCTCAGGAAAGGAATATCAGTGAAAAA